TTTCTGATTTTGTAAGAAATTTTGATTAAATTTAATAAAGATAAGAGCAAGGTCTCACCATTAATATTAAAAAAAAATATATACTATATGATATAAACAATTGTATAATACATGTGATTTTTAATTTTCAAGATATAAAAATTGGGACATTCCAGGTACTGTATATAGTACAGTCATACCTGAGTTATATCTCTCTTTTTTCTAGAGCATTTTTGGTGATATAACTAAGATTGAGATATAACTCGATATATAAACTATATAAAAGAGAAATTTATTCTGCTAAAAAATAGAGATATAACTCAGGTTGGGATATAACCTAGTGGGAATATAACTTAGGTATAACTGTACTATATAATAAAGTTTATATGTAAAATTAAAAAATTATCAAACTAGTATAATTTAACTTTTAATTAGAATTATATAACTAGTTATACTTTATTTAAATAAAATTAAATATTTTATTAGGAATAGAAGCAAAAACTACTACTTTTACTATTATATTTTCAAAGTGTTTAACTTATCTTTATTTTATACTTTTTACAGAGCCAAAAATATACAAGCTTTCCTTGAATATATTTGCTAAAGTGAAAAAATTCACTAAAGTAAACAAATTTGCTAAAGCAAGTTTATTTAACTTATTGGATCTATCCTATGAATCCAAGTGAAAAGACTTCCTAAATCTAGATAATTAAGCTAAGTAAACTAAAATATATATATATAATAATATATTAAATAAAATAAAAAAATACTAACAGATAATAAAAAAATTTGTAATGTCAGATAACAGGAGCCCCTCACAACAAATCATAGTACTCTCCTATATCAAAATCACTCTCTTTGGGTAGATTGAAGAAGAGTTAACTCAGTGATAATCATATCATATAAGAAGTGTTCCTCTAAGTTAGAATTAGGTTAGAGTTGGTTAGGATTAAAGTATATTTAGGCCAGTTTGTTTTAATACTAGAAACAAATAATGTTATTATATATTATTGTGTGATTGTCAATTACTAGGTTAGCTGTAATACTAAGATACCATTTTGATTTTGACTGTAATTCTATAGTCTATGCTGTATAGTAGTGATTAAGTTTTGTAAAAAGTTTTTTTTTTGACAATTTATAATAAATATCGCAATAATTTCAGTTCAAACTAATTAATTTATAGACAAAATAATGAATAAGGCTTTAATAAAATTTTTTACAATAGTTTACAATAGAAATTCAATACTAATAACTAAATCTTAATTATAAGCAATAAATCAAGTATCAACTCAACTAAATTTGCAAAGCAAATAATTTGAAAATAGAATATACAGCAACTTACTGTAGAAATTATGATAATTACATTACCAACTTAATCATTTGCTTTAGTTGCTAGAGTGCTAAGTTCTGTAATAAAATTTTTGAACTATCTTATCATCAAAATCGTGAAATTTCTAATACAAACTATTTCAATCTCAACTACATATTGCTGTTACTTAAATAGCAAGTAAAGTTTTTGTAACAGAATTTTTTTAAAAATAATGATAATGTTAACTTTAACCACATATGTGGTTACTAGAATAATAAGTTTATTTTATACAGTGCATACAACCTAGTCCCAACCAATAGAATTGATAAAATTCAAATTGCTAATCCTTTTTTAAAAAAATAGTAAAAAAAATATAGTCTTAAAATGTTAAATCAAGCTAAACACTTCCATGTTCTTAAATTTTTTGTATAAAAAAGTTATAGCAAGTTGAAGTTATAGTATTTTTATAATTAAATATGAAATTTGGCCACCTTTTATATATATAAAAAAGCAAATTTGGCCACTTTATATATATTAAAAATTTAAATTTGACCACTTTATATATATTAAAATTTAAATTTGACCACTTTATATATAAATATTAGCTAAAATTTCAAATTGGCCTCTTTATATATATAAAAAATAAAATCTAAATTTGGCTGCTAAAAAAACTTATTTGTCAAGATTAGGTTGTATACACTGTAGTAATTTTATAAATTATTACAATATCAATACAAATCAGTATATCTGTTGCACAAATAAATTGTATAATAAAATTTTAGAAATCAAGATAAATCCAATACCAACTAATTCGACTCAAATCGCATAATATGTATACTGTCATAGTTATAAGCTCTGTATAAGATGGGTGGCGCTTCGCACCACCCGCCGAACTAGTTATTATTAATCCTAAGTTTTTACTGGAAGTTATAGAATTATGCATGCTGTATATACCACGGACATGATAAATCAGGATGACAAGCCATTTAAACTATATCCAATTAGAAATCCGTATTTGCACACATCATTTAACTCTTCAGATAACAATCCTGATACTGACGAATTTGGAAGTACGTATCATAATCCCGTAATACAATATTGTAGCGTCAAGATCACATGAAAAAGCAATCCAATCAGATTCATGGATTCGGATACACCCTTTCACTTGCCGTTAAACCATACTCTACGTACTTCGTACTCCGTTCCTGGTATCCTCAATCTGAAATATATTACAGATCTATCCGTTTAAAATTGATATCCACATTTAATCCGAATTATCGGATCAATCCGAATTAGTCGAATTTTTGCGGATAGAAGCACTACTTTTACTGTTTCAATTCTATTAATTCATAGAATTCAAATAAAAAAAAGTTCAACGAATTTAACCTAGTGGTTTCTAAGATACCTTCGTTCAAAAAACTTTTAATTTGCAGGGGGATATGAATAAAATTGGGTATAAAAAATGATCCCCTAAAAGTACTATAATAAATGTTAAATATATGTTCTATAAATTAAAACCAAAAAATGAGTTATCGTAAATAAAAAGTAAATGCAAAAGTAGACAAAGATTTAAATGCAAAAACAATTATTTAGAAAAAAAGGAGAAAAGAAAAATGAAACAACGTGTCTAAAATTTCCAAAAGTAATATGTACTGTACTTATATTATTAGTTTATACGAAAAACTAATAATGAATCTTTTTTCTTAATAAAATACAAAACACGTTGCAGCAGTTATAGGTTAGTTTATTATGGATTAATCGTGGAAATTCATAATTTTCTGTAATAGTTAATATAGTACAATTGTAGACTGTTAGAGTGATAAATTTGAAATTCATTTATTATTGTTTTATCTTTGATTGCGTCTGGTAATTGTGAAACATTTTTCAGATGTAGGGAAGCAGCTGTATGGACGTTTTAAAGAATGTAATGCGTAGACTAGTTCTTTAAAAACAAAAATACTATGTAGATACTAGTATAGTTCTTTAATAAAAATAACAATAATTTATATTAATAATTTAAGCCAAAAACTACAAAATTTATTCTTTGTTTACAAATAATTGTCTCAAAGACTCATTATCAAAGAAATATTCATCAGGATCATACTTCGCCCTGACCTTTTCAAACTCATCCAGGCGTTTTCTAATATTATTACGTATATATGGAATAATACCAGGCACATGCTCCCACATTTTACCCCAATGTGGTAGAGCATTATATTTCTTCATCCATCTTTCGGCTAGTTCAATTGAAAAATCAAGGAAGTCTTGAGTACCATTAACAGACAAAATCTCCATTAAGCAGTAATACGCATCTGGGTCTTCATCATATGTCGAAGCAAGCAGACATTTGGACGCCTTATTGATTCGAAATTCTGCTGTAATATTTAACGGATACTTGTTAATTGCAGCTAATTCATAAACCTAGGATTTGAAAGATAAGAAATGTTAGGAATGTTTTACAGATTGTATGAAAAATACATCGTATAATGTTTTTATAAAAATTACCCGTTTAATAATATAGTTGAATTCGTCTATAACATTTGAAAAATCCTTGATTATGCAGTATAATTGTTAGCTTGATTAATTTGATATATACAATAATTTAAATTTATATTTAGAGATTGGAATTGATGAATTTCGAGCATTAATTTATCAAAAGTTCCAATTTTTCGAGATTATAAAATCCAATCAACTGCTAAATAGTTCATCAGTTCTGGTAAATTTTTAATGCAATCTAAATGCATCTCAGTATAAAGCTATATAATTATTATGAACGTAATTTCTTATTCCATGTTTCTATATGATTGCAAGACGGGATTACGACTTATAATCACAACTTTAAAATCAGTAAAAAAAAAGTTTCCAGTAACACTTGTTATTCCCTTATTTTACTAATTGCAGGATCAGGTTTTTCACTCATTATTTTGGAAATAACAATTCAAAATTAGTAGGGAGATAGTCAACTAATAAAACGCTTTATACGCCGCTGCTAGGAAATAACAAATGTTTTCGAAATCTTGCTCTATCCACCGATTAAATTCTCTATTTTAGACGTTTACTTACATGGTTGACCTTGAAGGAAAACTCAAGGTCCATACAAGGAAAGTTATCGACACCGGTCTGTGAAAATTTAAAGCAATTAAATTTTGTTTAAAAATATTCAAATTACTGTTTAAAAAATCATACCTGAAAATGAATGGCATCAGGTGCTTGTAGAATCTCTTCACTTTCATGATTAAGACCAACATTAAAGACAAGATTAGTAATGTATGGAGTGGATTCTGGACATTTAGTAATGAATTCAAAAAGATGATCTCCAAATTTGAGTCCGAAAATTTGAAAGGCCGACTTTAATTTTAACTCGAGTTGACTCTCTGTAACATTCATATCGACTCTTTTGCAGGTTTTTACCCAAAGCTTATCATTTTTTTCTTCAAGACCAGATGCATTGAATGGCATATAAAAAATTTCAACACTTTCACAATTCAATACGTCATTTTTGAGGTTTTCCGCTTTCCAATAATCTGAAATTTTTGGAAATCTATCTTTCATTTTCGAATTAAACATTGGTTCGACTCTGAAAGTGAGCTTATATATAATTCCTAAGAGACCTTTAGAATATTTAAAAATTGGATATGGTAAGTGATATTTTGTATGTTTTTCTTATTATTTTTATTTTTATTTTTAAAAAAAAAATACAATACCAAGGCTGATTCTAGCAGCACTCATTTCGACAGGATCTATCTCATCAGAAAACTCACGAAGTTCACCATTGGATGTTACAATTTGAAAAGAGATTACTTTTTCCGCGACATTTGAACTTGCACATCTCGCGCCATGAGAACCAGTTGATACAATGCCAGAGGTTGTCACAGTAGTCAATACAGGCAAAGAATCAAATGTTAATGGAGGGTCATGATTCCTTAACTTAACAACGAGATCTTTAAGATATACACCTATAAATATAAACAATAGATTGAAAACATTAAAAAATAGAAACGTGTATTTGCTAATCATTAAGAATGCACTCCCTTACCTGCTTCGGTGGTGACTGTCCAAGTTTTCAACTTCTCATTATAATGAATTTTAATATCATTCAAATCATTAACTATTACCAAATATCCATTGGTAACACTAAGGCTACTCCAGCTATGACCAGCAGCAGCACAACGAATTTTCTTATTACGTTTTTTTGCTTTTTTTACTATTGCTTTTAAATCATGTAAATTAACAGGACGAAAAATTTGATCAGGAGTACATTCCTGATTTTCACCCCAATTATGCCATTCCTTTTCACCTAAATGTTCAATATCGTTTTTGATCTTAATGAAAGCATCTTTTACGAAAGCCATGCTTAATAATAGTAGCTGTGAAAATTTGTTCTCAAATGTTACTAATACAGTATTTATATATATATATATATATTTGATTCAAACCTTTAGGTTCAAATTAAGATTGACCGTTATTTACGTGTGTTATATATTCAATCTTACGTGTAAGTGTATATACATCTGTTCCAATCTAACCTAGTCCTAAACTGGTTAAGCATAATAATTATTTGTATTTCTGGTTAGTCTTTATTTACAATTCCTTCTAAATAGGGAGTTTATTGTTTTTTTTTGACAATTTTTATCCATAAATGCATAATTTTCCATTCTAACCCTATTCCTAAACTGGTTAAACATAATAGTTCTTTGTATTTCTTCTAGTCTTTATTTATAATACCTTCTAAGTGTGTAAATTATTGTTTTTTGATTCAAGTTCTTCGAATCTGAATAATTCGAGGCTAAATCTAGAATTAAGGTCCAAAGCCTTTTTTGCTTGTTCATGTTTAAATGCACCCCTTTTTGTTTATTGTTTGTATATATAATAAAAGTCTAATTAGGAAATTTCAATTAATTATACGTAATCTGTAAATTTAAATGATTCTTATTATTAGATAGTCTATCAATCAATCAATCGAAAAATCACATATTTTCACATGACATAATCTGCAGAAGATCACACATGTTTTTTTGATCTACTATACTGTTTCGATTTAGTTATATCGACAATCTGCATAATTTTTTTGAGCCCACGACCTGTCCTATAAGAAAAATGGTCCGGATCGGTACGGATTGGTTTCGTATAGGCACGGGCCTTTGTGGCGCGGTCAAGATCCGGATTTGTACGGAGTTGGTGCGGATTAGGTGGTCCGTGTGGGACCGTATGCCCGTGCCAATTGGACCGTAAATGGTACGGGTTTTGCACCGCAATAGCAAATAACATGTTAAAACATAAAATTTACATTAGTAATCAATATAATACGAAAAAACTAACTGCATGTTAAGTAAAAATTTGTAAGGAATCTTTTTTGTTAAGATACTCAGAGCACTTTTTTTTTAAAAAATTATTTATTGATCTTTCGCTCTCCGCGAAACGAGCCAACACGTGTGCAACGTACACATACATGTCATCTAAACGTGTTGTTCCGTATGACGTGATATAATGTACCACCCCTTACCGAAATGTCCGTGCCATTCCGTAAAACGCGCCCCTTAGTAATTCCCGAAACCAACCCGTACCACCTTTCTTATAGGGCTGTAATTACAATAAGGGAATCACTTCAACTTCGTTATATTTCGTGGAACTCATAATAGATTCATATATTTCCCTTTTATTACTTTATTGATAAATAATTTCCGCAAAATACGACGAAAATAAAGTAGCTATCCATTTGTATTCACAGACTCAAGGGACTCAAAAAATTACTATCCAGCTAAATCGAAAACAGCGATAATAATATAACGATATATCTAATTGTATAATTCTTGTAAGTTGATAATACATTCTGGTTACATCACGAGATCCAGAACGATCAGAAACCACCTGACCGCGAATTTTCTTGCCACGACTATTTTACCTACTAAAAGTCGGGTGATTTCTTTTTTGACAATCTACAAAATTATGCAACCGCAATAAATCGATTATCAACAATCGATTGTAATCGATTAGCTATTTTTGCAGATTACAACCAAGATATTACTATTTTCTAATGGTTTATATGCAAAATTTTTGTGTTAAATCAAGCTATCTTAGTTTAGAATAGAGATTGAATTTGTTCATTCGTTTATCTGAACTAACATTATCCTGCTTATCCAGATTGGCTAGTTTTACAGTTGACCCTCTATAATTGCACATCACATTACGGTGCATTCAGCTAATAAAATCAAAAGATATATAGGTGTATATTGTAACGGTTGTTTTGGGAGAGCGAGGCGGTTATAGACAAATCGTGCCAATTTGAACTCCAACCGTGTACGAGATTGGGGTTTATATAAACGAAGGAATAATATAAATTTATCTTAAACTAATCAATCCTTAGAATGAAGATTAATTTTAATGTGATTTAGTTAATGATAATAACTAAGAATGCATATGTGAAAACTGTATATCAGTCGAAGGAATGATAAATTAAAATAATTCGGAGATTATATCGATAAGAATAATTCTTCTAAAACGGTATGATTGATTGATAATGATGTCGAATAACTTAAATACTTCGAACTGTATATAAAAAACGTAAAATAAAATGGGTCTTAAAAGATATTCTAATTATGATCCAAAAATGATATTAACGGATATTGATATCCAAGCGTTACGCTATTGCTATTCTAATTCTGATATTTTAAAATCAGCTGATGTTGGTGATGCCAATGATGGCGGGGGTTTCCTATTTTCACGCGTCAAACTAAAACTTCTCTTGACCGATAGTTCTTTCGGGCAGAAATCACGTGACCAAGTTCCGAAGATTTACGAAGTGCCGTTACGTAAGAAATTCGAGTCTTAATATGCCGAATCGAGGTTACGAGTCAATTCAGTCCGTCGAATTGAGTTACGATCAGGTTTATTAAAGTTCAAGTCGAATTTTCAAAGAGATAAGTATTTGCTTTATTATTTAGGTATTAAACAAAAATGGACGTGGAACTTGTCCTTCTTTATTAATTTGCATCATTTTTATACATTTTAGTTTTCTATAGCGTCGACGCCAAATATTTCGCGTCAGCGCTAATAATTTAACGTCCACGCTAATCTTTTGGCGAGAACATTAAAAATTTGGCGTTCACGCTAATATTTTATCGTAAACGCGAAAATTAGATGTACTACGCCTCATGCAATTCCCAAATTGGTATAACTAATTTATTATCAAATATTAATACTACTATATCGGGTATTGTTACCAAAATGGAATTGGCGCATGACGACATAATATATATACGAAAATAAGAATAAAATAGAGATAAAATAAAATAAATAAAATAAAGAAAATAAAATAAAGAAAATATGTACAATGACTAATATAACTTTTAATCCATAACAATATCCAGTGTAGTGTAGTGCGCATAAAATTATGGAATCATGCGCATCATTTTTTTATACTTATAATGCGGCAAAGGTAGTGATGTGCCACGTACAGTACTATACGTACTGTACTGTACGTACTGTACGTACTGTACGCTAAAATTTTTGCCGATCATTTATTAAGAGGGCCTGATATGCCAATTGACCAATCAAATTTGTTAATT